AAATTTATAATTTTTAAGTTCCTGTATATTATTAAAAAATATTGTTGGCTAAAAAATCTGAAATTTAATTTTTAGATAACTTTTTATTTTAGTTAGTTATTAATAGATTAATAAGAATATTTCAATTAGAGGAAACTTTTGTTAAGCACTGTACAGGTTTTCAGATATTTTTAGGGCAATACTGGCAGAGCTTGCCTATTGGAGGTAATAAACATCTTTAAATGTAAAACTGCCTCTGAAATAACCCGAAGTATGAGAGAATCGTGTATTTTTACACCTAACTTTGCCTCGCCTGGGCTTATTTTCATTATACGAGGAAACACGAAATAACCCTCTTTATCATTCGACTTTGACCTACTTCGAATACTTCGGCCTATTTTGCGAATAGTGTAGTGACCGTTTAAGGTTCTACTTGAATGAAAATAATTAAATAACGATCAGAATGTTATGAAAAATCTATAACTTAATAATTATATAACTTAATAATTTTTACCCCACTAAATATCTGACGACCCTCTACATACACTGAAAAAAATTCTAGAATTTTATTGAAAGAAATACCGTATGATCGAAAAAAAACGGCGTCCAGTTGGCTGGGAAATGACGATCAATGACATTTCCCATATAAATTTACATATAAAATGACAGCGATCTTCATTTCATAGCCATCGTTGACGCCGTTTATTCTCGATCATACGGTATTTAAATGCCTACAATGATTAAACCGACACAATTCGAAAACTATCACTCAATCTCATATATAAAAATCTCGTGTCACATTTTTCGTTACCATACTTCTCCGAAAGGGCTTGACCGATTTTGATGAAATTTAAATATATATTCAGTAGGTCTGAGAATAGGTTGTTATCTCTTTTTATACCCTAAGTAATAAGGGTTGTCCACCCCAAATTTTTATTTTATTTTTTAGACAATCTTTTTATTTTTGTTTTTTATGATGTGGCCTTAAAAAATACATACAACCCTAAATTTTTACTTTTCTACCATCAACCTCTATTTTTTAATAGCGATATTAGTAGTTCAATAATTTTCAACCCCAGTCGTCAATTATCTCTTGATCAGATACCCCGCTAAAATATTTATATGGCAAAAGAATATGTTTGCCGGTTCAACCTAGTAATTACATAAATAATAACTCCTCAATAATAGGCCTACTATAGTATATTGTTTTATTGGAGTAAAAATTACACTTTTTGTGGCAAGGCTGTACGTTTGACATTACAGGCGCGGCACAAAAAGTCATTTTTACTCCGAATAGAACATACTATTTTTTTCAAACGTCACAAATAATTTTTAAACAATTTCAAACGTTGCAAATTATATAAAAAATATTTACAATTAATATCTTGTAAGTAATTATATATCGAGAGACTATGGTTACGCTCGTTGAATTTGACCCTTTGTGTCAGTTTAATAATATATTTTCGTACTTTTGTGCTTAGGCGTAAAATGGTTCACTTTTATGCCTAGCCCATAAAATAACGTTTTTATATTGTCAATCATGTTGCAAAAATTAATACTTTTGTGACGTTTGAAAAAAAAACTATTATACCGGGTGCGTCTCAAAAGTGGCTCATCCCTATAACTTTTTTATTTTTTCAGTTAAAAAAACGAGATTTGGTATGTTCGTATATGACATAAATTAGGATTGACTCCCTGTTTCACTAGAAATGACTACTACTTTTGATTTTTAAATGACACTTTTGGTATTTTTTTACTTTATTCGATAGAAAATAACACTCTGAATAGAATGACATATCATACGTCAACTTTTGCATATGGTTTGTTTGAAACTATAACTTGCGTTTCGTAACGATAATTTGACTCGATTAAGAACCTAGATTGAATTTTAAAAACCTCGAACACCCTAGATTGAATTTTAAAATACGATTTTTTATTAAGCGAGAATTTCAGAAGTAGACATATGTTATGTCATTCTATCGGTCTCTATTTCATTCTATGTCTGTATATCTATCTATTCAGAATGTCATTTTCTATCGAATAAAGTAAAAAATTACCGAGGGTGCCGTTTAAAAATCAAAAGTTGTCATTTCCGGTGAAACAGAAAGTGACGAAAAACAATTGAATACGTCAATCAGTCCTACTTTATGTCATATACTAACATACCAAATCTCGTTTGTTTATCTGAAAAAATGAGAAAGTTATAGGGGTGAACCACTTTTGAGACGCACCCGGTATACCTCAAATCGGAAATGTGATAAAGTGATAAAAAAAGATCTTCCAAAAAACTAAATATAGGTACTTAAAAAAGCGAAGTTATGAATTTCTTTCTATTTTTTGATCGTCTTTGTTTATTTTTACCCGTTTACATTTAAAATTATTTACTACCCCCAATAAGTAGATATGCCTGCAGGTAAAACACTAAATATCTATGAAACCCCTGCAAATCGTACATGAGAGAAAAATTAATAAGATATTTCTTAAATCCGGCGGTAAGTCAGCTTCTTTTGTAATTTTTATCGTGTCTTAAACTATTACTTTAATTTTTTTTTTAAATAATAATGTCCATGTGACCATGGTAATTATCATTGGCGTAACTACAGGGATTCCGGGGGTGCCGGCCCCCACCCAGGTACTGCAGGGCACCCCCCAGAGAAATCCTGAATTATGACTCTTGTCTACGTATTAATTTTTATTTGCTTGTGATGGTAGTAAAAATGACGTTTTCTAGTTTTGTTTAGTTAATATTATTTTGTTGTGTTCAAAAAATGTGTTAATTTTCATTTTTTTAGAAAATTTGTAGGTATTTAAGTAATCTACGGGAACACGGTTTGATAACCAAGTCTATGAAATTTATTGATAGAGATTCAATCTACTCATGTAAACGTTTTATTCAAAAAATGTGTTTTTTAAAATTATTTTTCATTTAAAGAAAAACAAAAGCCTTAGGCCCCCCCTGGGCTCAACCCCAGGATCCCCCCAGGTCCACCCCACGATAAATTGCTAGATGGGAATTATTTTTCAAATACTTCAGTCTCGACTTCAGTATAGTATAAGTAAATTGTATAAATATCACAGAGTAACAACCGAAATGTTCAGATCTGGTGGACAACTTCTACTGCAGAAGATGACGGAAATTTTTAATAGATGCATTATGGAACAAAGAATACCAGAGCTATGACAAAACGCAACAATCACTCTCATTCACAAAAAGGGTGATAACACCAGACTCGACAATTATCGTCCCATCAGCCTGCTCTCGCACTTCTACAAAATATTCACAAAGGTGCTGACAAATCGCCTGTCAAACAAATTCGACTTCTATCAACCCCCGGAACAGGCAGGGTTTAGAAGTGGATATAGTACTGTGGATCACCTTCAGGCAGTCCGCACTCTCATAGAGAAAAGCACCGAATACAACTTCCCTATATATGTCGCCTTTGTGGATTATGAGAAGGCTTTCGACTCTATAGAACTACACGCCATCCTCGATGCCCTACAAAATGCCAGAATAGACTACAGATACTCGGGCATAATATCATCTATTTACAAATCAGCTACAATGACTATCAAACTGGATGACATAAATATCACAAATAATATTAAAATGGAAAGAGGAGTCCGACAGGGAGATACTATTTCTCCCAAACTTTTTACACTGGCCCTGGAGGACGTATTTAAGAAGCTGAACTGGGACAATAAGGGTATTAAGGTAGATGGTGGGATGCTTAACAACTTGCGCTTCGCTGATGATGTCGTTGTCCTGGCCTCATCGTTGGAAGAACTTCAAACAATGCTCGAACAACTTCACCACACATCTGCGCAAGTAGGTTTAAAAATAAATTTGTCTAAAACTAAAACCCTAAATGAAAATGAAGAGCAAGTTAATGTTAATGGACAAAGGATTGAGAACGTTAAAGAGTATATATATCTAGGTCATGCCATAAAACTCGGCAAGGAAAATCAAACAACCGAAATTTCTAGAAGGATCAAACTCGGATGGGCAGCTTTTGGTAAAACTTAACTTTATATTCAAAAGCAAAATCCCAAATAGCCTAAAATGAGACGTTTACAACAAATGCGTCTTGCCTGTCATGACCTATGGTTTGGAGACTATGACGATGACGGCACGAAGTGTGAACAGGTTGCGAGTGAGCCAAAGAGCTATGGAAAGAGCCATGATGGGTATCAGTCTTCGCGACCACATTAGAAATGAAGATATTCACCGACAGACGAGGATAACCGACATCGTAGAGAGGATAGCTAACTCTAAATGGTCTTGGGCAAGACACTTGGCCAGACAGTCCGAGGAAAGATGGGCAAAAAGACTTCTTTGCTGGAGGCCACGCCTAGCAAAACGCCCAGTCGGCCGACCTCCTAAAATATGGACTGATGATATCCAAACCGTAGCCGGTAAGAACTGGATGAGGAGAGCACAGAATCGAAACGATATTGGAAGAAACTGAGAGAGGCCTACATTCTGCAGTGGATGAGCAATGGCTGAGAAGAAGAAGAATAAATATCACCCTGCCCCTCAAAAAACAAAACTAAACGTGAGTGATAAGAAAATAATAAGACTTTCAGCTTATTTTAAGAAATTAATTTACTCGATTAGTCAACCCGTTCTTATTTCCTAAAGATTCTTTGGATTCGATTACAGAAAAGCAGTTACTCTGAATACCCGTAAGTATACCAAATATATGACGAAAATCGCCAATAATCCTCATAGGTACTATCACTTACGCGGCTAAACACGCGTTAAATGTGAAGCGTTTGCCGTTACACAACTCCGGCGAAAAATTTCTGCAAGAGTGGTACCTTTGACCGCAGAAGGGGGGCCGGCGCATCAAGGGGGAGGGCATCATCGGAGGGTCGTTTCTCAAACGCGTAAGAAAAGACGATGATGGCAAGGTTTTTCTGATGAAAGTAAATTAATTTGAAGATCCACCCACCAGACGATGTTTCAGTACCACCACGTATAAAAGCTTCCGCACTTGTTTTCAGTAATCAGATCATCTCGACGCATCTTTCAGTTAAGATTCGTTTTTCTTTTTCTTTGTAGTTTTCGAGTAGTATTTCTTCGATCTGTGATTTATAGTGCAATATGAAGGTAGGAAATAGGAATAACAATAGACATTTTTATTTTTGTTGACAGATTTTTTTCAAAACCTAATTCAAAATTTATTAAATATACAATAAACATAATTTCTTGATAATATGGCTATATAGGTAGTAGATTAAATTTACAAGAGAGAAAATCCAGAACAAATCTAGTGTTATTTTGGACTTGTTTGAAAAACAGTAAAGAGAAAATATGTTTCTTTTATTGAGATCTACCAGCCCTGAAAATATTTGCACTTATTTATTTGACTCACCCTGTATATCTTACAATAGAGATTTAAAACTATCTTGTAATAAATAGTATTTTTATCATCAATAATATTTTTGCTTTAAAATATTTTATTTTTTACTAAATAAAAAATAATACAAAAGATTGAAGCATAGTACCAAGAATATATACTTCTTGGTACCTAAAATTCTGCTATATTGAGAGAAAACGGATAGATTATACCGGGTGCGTCTCAAAAGTAGCCCACCTCTATAACTTTTTTATTTTTTTAGTTTAATAAACGAGATTTGGTATGATAGTATATGACATAAATTAGGATTGATTGATGTATTCAATTGTTTTCGGTCACTTCCGGTTTCACCGGAAACGACTACAACTTTTGATTTTTAAATGGCATCCCGGGATTTTTTACTTTATTCGCTAGAAAATGTCACTCTGAATATAATGGCTTGAAATACCAAGTGTGTAATATCAAATTATTCGTAAAAAAATGCTTTTTCTAAATATTCTAATGAGCCACCCTCGTTCCATTTGAATTAATTGAGATATGATTAAAAACCAAACCAAACTGGCCAGGAAAAGGCACTAAAACATTAGACCATCAAATCTCTTTTACCAAGGTTCCTTGATGAAGAATTAGTGTTTTTAACATAGCCATGGCACTCTAGGCTGAATTTTAAAATACAATTTTTTATTAAGCGATAATGTCAAAAGTTGACATATGATATGTCATTCTATTCAGAATATCATTTTCTATCGAATAAAGTAAAAAAACCGAGGGTGCCATTTAAAAATCAAAGTTGTAGTCATTTCCGGTGAAACAGGAAGTGACCAAAAACAATTGAATAATCAATCAATCCTAATTTATGTCATATACTAACATACCAAATTTCGTTTTTTTATCTAAAAAATAAAAAGCTATAGGGGTGTTGATAGGAGTGAGCCACTTTTAAGATGCACCCGGTATAGCTGATACGGCAGAAGTTGTTTTGCCATATAAATATTTTTTTACGGGACAACAGTCATGTTTTATTCACGGGGTTGAAAATTATTGAATTACTAATATCGCTATATTAAGAAATAGGGGTTGATGGTAGAAGGGTGAAAATTTAGGGTTGTATGTATTTTATTTTGTTGTTTCTTGCGTACCACGAGTACCATTCTTCTGAATTATCTAGTTTAACTTTTCTGATCTATAATTAACTTTCCATTATTTGCTATCTTTCATTTTCAGTTAAAATTATTTTACCTAATGCTTACCTATTCTTTACCTAATGCTTCAACACCTAGGTATGGTAAAAAAACATCCATAAAATAGAAATAGTTGTAATAGATTATATTTAGTTTAGATATATTATCATCATTTCAGTAGTACACATGGAAGTTTTTAAAATAGCTTATACTCTTTTCTACACACATTTTCCTACAAACGTAAAAAACCGGCAACTTTGTATGCCGCTTTTGATTCTGTCTCTCTGTCTATCAAGCGGTCATTTATACATATATTTCTCTGTCACACGCATTCAAATCCAGATCACATAAATTGGATGACCAGCAGGGTATATGACATTAAGCTCGTTGATAACTGGAATTGAGATGTGCATTTGCAATTTTTGGTTTGCATTTTTGGTTATATGAAAAACTTATTTTTCACAAATTTCTTCTCTATCAAATCACTTTCAGGTTTCAAAACAGATTAAAAAATAATTTGCGCCGGTTTTTATCATTGATTCTAAATAAAAAGGTAGAAAATTATTGTTACCTCACTACACAAAATGTTGAGCATTAATTTCAATATATTTGAATTTCATTTCTAACACCTTCCTTAAATGGACCGGCATAGAAACCTTCACTCTTCCTATAATAATTAATTAACTATTATACACATATTGAACAACGCTTTAAGCCGTGCTTTAAGCATACAATACATAAACATGCGTTTTTTCTCATCAAGATTGTTACGTTATAATTGGTGCCCCCTCAATTTTTGCCCATCCTATAAATTTGTGTGACGGCACAATCTAGAATAATGGTACCCACTGTAACAATTTAAGCTGCAGCTTTTGTAAGGTATTTGAAAGTAAACCGGTGCATCTGCATCAATCGATTATGCAAAATTATGCATAATACTTTTTTATAGTCCTGTACCATATTCGAGGTACAGAGGCATAAAAACGTAATAATATTGGGATTAAAATTACTGCATTCTTAAGGAACGCGTTTTTTTATTGCACTTTTTTTAATGTTTATTACAGAAGTTACACAAAGGTTTAACCCTGGATGACCTATTAAAATATTTAAAATTTTATAAAAGTATCCTAGCTTTTGAAAATTAAATAGTTAATTCTAAAAAAAAATTACGTTTGGGAACTTGTTGTAATATATTGAGCGTAACTTATATATAGTAGATATAGCCAACCACTAATAAAAAAAGAAACTGTTCAAATTTTAAAGCATTGACTATTAATAAAACTGGTACAAATTAAAATTATTATTTAGTACAAAAAGTATTTACTAAATGATGAACATATAATCTTATTATGAAAAATATTATCTATTTAAGGAATCCATTATACGGTCGATATACAGGGTGAGTCTTAAATAAGTGCAAATATTTTCAGGGCTGGTAGATCTCGATAAAAGAAACATATTTCCTCTTGTCGTTTTTCAAATAAGTCTAAAATAACCGAGTTATTTTACTTTGAAACTTAAAAAAAAAGATTTTTTGCTTAAATTTTGAGAACTACTGAATCTTTTCTGAGTTTATTTTTTTGTAAATTTAATCTATATATGTTGCCATATTATAAGGAAATTATATTTTTTAACTAAAAATTAAAAATTCAAAAAATTCCAAATTTTAAAAAAAACATTTTTTTCGCGAAAGAAATCTCATAATCGTATTTCTGGGGTCAAAATATACTACCCCTAAAAATATTTGCACTTATTTAAGACTCACCCTGTACGTTATCGTTTTTAAATATTCTTGCGTGGATGAAATGCTTCCTATAAAACACTTATATAATAAATTATTATTTCTTTTTTTCTTCTTACTAGTACCACACAGCTACTACTATTAATATATTAATGCTGACAGTTGCCAATAAAATGAACTGTTGATTTCCAAGTATCAGAACTAAGTATTAGAGGATATATATTATGCAGATTGTAAAATTATTTTGTTTTGGTGTTTCAAATAACCTTTTTTGTTCTAGTTCTTACTTATCATCGCATCCCTATCATTCGCTTTAGCAGAACCTCCAGTACCCTCAGGTCTGTACGGTACGCCCAACCGATACGTACCTCCCCAGAACGAATACCTACCACCCCAAAACCGATACATCCCACCCTCAGCGCCCACTGCTCCTCCCGCACCAAGATACATTCCACCATCCACGAATTATGGAGTTCCAGCCCAAACCACAGCTGTAGTGAAACCCAACACCGAATACGGCGCTCCAAGTACATCTTATGGGGCTCCAAGCTCATCTTATGGCGCACCAAGCACATCTTATGGCGCTCCAAGCACATCTTATGGCGCTCCAAGCTCTACGTATGGCGCACCATCCGGCGGATATGGTAGAGGAGGTCCTGATTACCCATCGGTAAGGATAATAGGATATAATTACATATTGGAATTCATAATTCTCTGAATAAACTTGAATGATTTTTTTTTCAAATGTCACAAAAGTATTGATTTTTGCGAAATAATTGTCAATATAAAAAGGTAACTTTAATATGATTTTAACGCCTAGGCATAAAAGTAAAGCACTTTTACGCCTCGGGGGCCCATGCACAACTTCTCATTTTCATTATAAAATACGATCCAAAAAAAGGTATGCGAGATGGCTTGGAAATGAAGATCTTTGTTAATTTATATGTAAAATTGTATGGAAAATGTCATTAGTCGTCATTTCCAAGCCAACTGGACGCCATTTTTTTTTCGATCATTCGGTATTATAACAGTTTTGTATGAGGATACCTTCGTTTTCAAAAAAATCATCAAAATATCTGTATTTAAAATATTTTACAGGAACCAGCCAACTACGAATTCGAATACCACGTTCAAGATGCCCAGTCTGGAAATGATTTCGGCCACAAAGAACAGAGACAGGGAGATGTTGCTCAAGGCAAATACTTCGTTCTCCTTCCAGACGGTAGACTGCAAACTGTTGAATATACAGCTGACCAAAATGGATACAAACCTAAAATTAGCTACCAGCAAGTAGGAGGAGGATATTCTGGAGGTGGATATTCTGGAGGTGGATACCCATCCAGCAACGGAGGATACCAATATTAAGAGAAAATTGCTTGAAAAGATAATTAAAATACGTTTTATCAGCTCTGATTTTTGTAAAAAGCCGATCATTTAATACGTATTTTAATGGAAACGAAAAATGTGCCTGATTTTAAAGTGAACTAATTTATGAAGAATCCTTTTGTGCAATTTAACTCTAACAGAAAGTTAGTTTTATTTTGCATTGTACACAAATACCTATAGCTTTAATATTTTTATAGATTTGTTTAAATACTAATTTGCAAACATATTGATGGATGATTACCGAATACGGATTACGAGATATTGTATATAAGTACACTTGAATCTAAAAATGCATATTTAAAAATATTAGCATTTTAAGATTTTTTAATTTATTTTTTTATATGCCATATATAGATAATAGTTTTTATATCAGATTATAAGATTTTTATATTTTTACAGAGCAATAAATATTAATTTTGCAACTTATTTTTTTTTAATTTATATATTTATGAAGTCCTATACCAATTTAAAAATATTTGATTTGGCAGGATTTAGTCATTGAACCTTATGCAACCAGTTAAATCTTAAATTTTTAATGATAGTGCCATCTATCGCTCACTGTCCTAAGTATACACTATAATTAAATAAGAGATTTCTTTTTGTCTATAGATATTTCTTTATCATTTTCTACATTACCGACCTGACAATGAGCTAAATGTCACTGTCAATATTGACATCATTGACATTAATATATTTAGATAATCTTCTATAAATAAAGTATTGACACTTGACTGTTTTCTGGCTCGTGAAGAAAAACAACAATATTTACATAAATACCCTTGAAATATGCGCAATTAAAGAAAATTTCCTAAAGCAGGTATGCCAGAATCTCCAGCAAATACCAAACATCAAGACAAATTACATACGTTCAAGTATTTGCCATTTTCAGTGTGTAGTGCAATCAATTATATGGTTTTTCAGTGTTGTATTATTTGCAGTTTGCTTAATTAGCCAGTATTTTGGAGCCCCTATTTTATTGCCAGCCGCTTCATATATAAATTTACAGCTATTTTGTGGACAAACATTTTCAAGAGAACTGATAATTGAGGCAAACATGATAGCAGCATCCTGTTTCTTTTATTATATGCATGGTTTGTTTTTTTGTTGGACTATGCATGAAGTGTAGTGCGATATTTGTTGGTTTTCTTTGAATTTAATCATATACAAATTTGTAACCATGCAGTCCTGTGTTGGATTAGAGGGCCGAAATATGGGCTCCGTTTGGAAGAGGCTGCAGAGGGTCAACAAGAGAGCTGCCAAGTTTCAGTTCACTGTATCCTATCATCAGCTGTCTGTTGATTTTACATCTAAATGGTGAGTGTAATGATTTATATTTATTTATGTTTCAAGACACTTTGTTTATATATCTTTCAATTACATAAACACAAGTACTTCTTTTAAAACACAAAAAGTCTTATTTGTTAAAGTACGATTTCCCAGGGTATTTTTATTAAAAATTTATAAGTCTTTTTAGGTAAATTATTTTTTAGCAATTTTTTTTAAGTACTTAACTAGGTATACTTAAATAATGAATGTAATAAAGTAAAAGAAAGTACCGCCCCAGCACCACTTTACTGATTCCAAAGATATTTACAAGGTTATTGGACAAATTAAACCACTTGTAATACCTATACCATTAAAGACATCAATTATTTGTACCTAAGGCCAGGTTACAAGACTCATAATTAGTCATTTTCCATAAAATGAATGCTATCAAGTTTTTCTCTTTAAAATGATATAAATACCTACTTAATTTTTAAATTACATCTTGGAAAAATAAAGTGATACTAGCAACTTGTAGATAAGAGAAAGACACAAAGAGTTATATATGTTTAATGTAAAATAGAAATATTAGGAAGGAAATACCTATTATCCTCTATTATATAAGGAAGGATAAATTTAAAATTAGTCCAAATTAAATTTAAAATTATTCATTTGAAAGTTTATTGGTTATTTTTTTAAACCTAGGGATATACCTAGATATCAATTTAAATTAGAACTTTAGTTTATTAGATTAAATGTATTTTGACTTTTGATAATAGTATTAGATAATAACTGTATGAATCCTTCTACACACTGTAATGATACAGCAGCTTAAATAATTTAATTTTGAATTTTTAAAAATGTTTAAATGATAATGGAAACGTCGAATAATATTTGTTGGTTAGACAATAAGGTTCACAGTATTTTTTTACTATTGATATTCATATTAAAATATGCAGAATGCAAAAAAAACAATAGTAGGTATACTCTTTTTACGTAGGCAAGTACAGCATATATTAGCATTATTCATTAGCCTATCATTAGCATAAAAATACTGCACGTCTAATTTATAATTTTAAATATTATGATATCCTTGCAAGGACAATATTTGAAAATTAATGATAATTATACGGGGTGTCTCACGCTGAGCGGGCATTAGGCCTAACCACCCTAACATAGCTGCACGCGTAGAGCAGAGCGGACAATAGAACGCCTCAATCGCCTGTATGTGGGGCCACTTCCATTTACTTCAATTTATTGAAACGCTTCGCGATCTTCTAAAAGAGAACTACAGTATCTAGATCTTAAATTTTTTGCACACCATTGTTTCACAAGGAGATCCATCAATTAAAAGTATTTTCGATATGGCGGCACTTCCGGAAATACGGAAAGTTGACAGGATATTTATTATTTTTTATTACTTAATTAAATTCTTTGTATAATTTTATGAATTCTGATATTAAACACTCTATAGCTGACAATATCCGTTTTTGAGAAAAAAAATACTTAAAATTTTTAGACAAAGAAACTGCTTGTTACAAAAATGGGTGTATATTCTCAAGAAGGGTTAAATGTTAGGTATAGAGTGTTTAATATTAAAATTCATAAAATTTTACAGAAATTTTAACTACGTAGGTAATTTAAATAATATGGTGATAAAAAGGGGGTACCCATTTAAAATAAGAAAGTTGGTGTCAACTGCCTCAGTCAACGATACTGCCGGAAGTGCCGCCATATTGAAAATATTTTTTGTTGTGAAACAATAATGTGCAAAAAATTTCCGGTATAGATGTTGTAGTTTTCTAGAAACTTCAAATGCACGTTCAGCCTGGTACAGCCTGTATATGTAATATTTATTTGAATTATATATCTACTTGCACATTGACATTACACAAGCGGTCATTTATATTTGATGAGAAGTCAAAATACTTTTTATACGCTTTGAATATCAGAAATTGTACAAATAGAACTTTAAGCAATAAATCGAGCAATAAATTAAAGACTGTTTACATTTTATCGTTGACCTACTAATATATGGAAATTTCTATCATGATCTGTTAATAATCTAAACCACAAACCAAAAGTTTGTCTGTACGTTTATCAAGGGTGAAGACAAACTAATTTATTTTAATCTACTATAATTTTGTCGCATTTTCCACAGTAAAAGGACGATGATCTCTTTACAACCGTGAAGTCAGAGCGTGCTGTAATGATGTATTCCTAGAGCTGGAATATTTCGTAATAAAATAATGCTTCTGAAAATAAAAAAAAAGTTTAGGATGTAAACCGAGATGTAAACTTATTTTTTACAAAAAATTTAACTGGAAGAGAAGGGATATTTTTTCGACGAATACTGACAAAGGAAATACAGTGTATTCTTACTTTTTGATGATTGAACAAGATTGGTGTTTGGCTAGATGAACTTTATTTCAAATAAATTCAGTTGCCTTTTGAAGGAAAAGATAAAAGCGAGGATAAAAGCTGTTATTAGAGGATGGGTTAACTAAAGAATTAAATCGTTCTCTCTTATTAGGAATCTTCCTTTCAGTGACGCTATTACGAAGAGACGAAGAAAAGTTGCACGTCCCTGCTGAATCTGTCGACATTTTTAGCTTTAAAATGTGTTGCACTTATAGTAGCTTTTACTTTTACCCTCACAATTTCATTTGAATCGCTAAAAGCGTCTGGAAAAAAAATATAATAAATCATAGAAAACTGAAGATTTGAACCCCCTGTAGCTACGAAACAAAGCAGAATAGGACATATATGTTGATATAAAAAAGGAATCGTATTTTTAAGTGAAGAATCTCCCCACGAGGGATGGCACATGTTTTTTGAAACACTGTATACTATATTAATATAATATTAACAAGTTCAGAGTTAATGCACTATTAGAAAAATTAATAATTTATTATATCAGATGTAGAAAAGATAATTAATTTTTAAGTAGTATTTTAATACTAAAAAATGCCGACAGATTCAGCAGCGCAAAATGTTCATGTCATTAACAGGCCAAAGTGTTTAATAAGTACTCTTCCTCAATTAAATCTTAAACATTTCAAGTTTTCTCCTTGTTTAAAGGGTTCTATCAACATGGGTGCCGAAATGCATAGTTTTGAATTTACAGGATGTTAAAACTTTAAAAAAATAGGTCTTTGTAATTTTCTTAAAAACCATTATTTTTTTTAATTACTGAAGTTAGCACTAAACAATAGTGTTATAAATTTATCAGTTAATTAATTAAATTATTAATATATTAATTAAAAATTAATATAATTAATGAAATTATTAATATACACTGCTGGCAAAGGAATATTAGCAATAGGAGGTTTTCAATGCGATAAAAAAAGATGGTAAGGCTGCAAAATACACTGCAGTGCAACAGAGACGGATAAAGTGTCTTTTCCCTATCATCGTATAGGGGAAGTGATCATAGAAGTGATACGACGAGAGAGCCCCTGCGAGAGGGGCGCCGGGCGGGTCTTAAGACGCTTGTGTGGGGGCTACCGCCTACTAATAGAACAGAATCGAAAAAATAGAAACAGGACGGACAGTGTTGCCATTCAATTAAATCGAAATTATGTTGGCTTGTCAAAATCCTAAATCTTCTAATCCCATTATCTTGCCTACTTAATGAAATATTAAATAAAGTACGAAACAATTTTAAGAATGTTTTCTCTAGGCACATAACTTCTTTCTAAAACGAAAAGTAACATGCAAAACTTTGAAATCATTTCTAAAATAGCAAGTGCAATTCTATGAAATGGCAATACTGTACGATCTTCCTAGCAGTCGCCCCGACACAGTCGGTCGGCGGCGGCGCTTGACAAAGCCGCGGCTGTGACAAAGGAATTAGGCCGAAAAAAACTTTATAAGGAGTAGCCGAACAGGGTTGCCGGGTTGGTTAGATTATAATTCCATACGAGAACAAAATTCTCGGTAGATCTTCAACAAAAATTAAAAGTACAGAAACGAAATAAAATATAATATTTAAGTCCAAAATTAGCATTCCTATGTGTCGTAATAATAGATCACTCAAATAAAATACAAATATAATAAATATAACAAGAATTAGAAATAGCTAGGTATATTATTTGATATTAAAAAAAATATTGAATTAAATAATATTAATATATTAATAAAAACATATAAAACTATAACAAGTAGGGATAGCAGTCACAAATTAGTGTAGCAGTCACTTTTTACCTTTGTACAAATTTTGATCAGTGATATCTAAAATTAATTTCATTTCAATGGGAAAGCTGTAGCAACTCTCAACTCTTTTTTTCATATTAATATATTTTTGACGGGAAAATCACTAAAATATTTGTCCGAATTTAGGTTGTTTCTTAACTTAAATTTTGTTTTTTGTTTACATTTTTTGGGGAAAATATGGGTTCAACTTTAGTAGATGAATGAAATAAAATCTTTTCAAAAGATATCAACTTCTTCGGGCATGTCGCCAATACCGCGCCTAATAAGGAGTAATAAGGAGTAATAAGGATTTTTAGGAATATCTCTGTAACTCTGCAACTAGACAGAACGATGACCTGTATGTGTGTTATTACTAAATAAAATTTAATGAAACAATAATAAAGTCAAATTATACAGATTCCAACACGGCAGTCGCTTAATTTTTAGTCAAATAAGTCAGCTTTTTATAAGTGCTTCTATTGTAAAAACTAAAGACGCAGTTGAATATATCGTTAGATTTTTCTTTAAATCGGTAGATCGGTAGCTTACAGACGAAACCGGTAGACCTGGCAACTCTGTGATGAACTGACGGGAGTCAGAATAGCGAGGTGCGGAGGCGCGGGAAGGGAAATAAAATAATGGCGATAAATAAAGGGCAGGGAGATGGGTATCATGAGTGGATGGGAGGTGGCGGAATTTCCAAAATTTGTTATCTTATTGGAGTTTGTCTAAGTAGACAGTCGTAGTGGAAGTGGAAACGGGGAAGTTGTTGTCCATCTCTGTTTAAGCATAGACTTTTTATAGGCGTTTCATTCCAATGCATGTAATTCCTATGCCTAGAGATCCATTGCCGGGCC